AGATTATTCACAGATAATTATGCATTCATAAAACTCTCGGAAACATACATAAGGTGTGTATCATTTGCATATAAAATACCAAAAATACATACCATTCTTTTCTTAATTTCTTCCTTTTTTTGATCTAAAAATTCTACTGGAATCCCAGATTCCGTGTCTTGAGCAGAAAGTAATAGGGCCCACAACTCATCCATAAATTGTCGAGCATTTTTTTCATTTAAGAAACCCGTCATGTTAATTTGCATTTTTTTAGGACAAGGAAACTGAAAAGAGTATCATATTGCTTACACATCTATAAAAAATTTATATAATAATGAAAATTTTCAGTATAAACTGTTGAACATAAACAAAATTAAAATTATATTAAGTATAAATTAAAATATAACAAATATATAGCAAAAATACATTTATAACTGATAAATAAATCATATAGAAAGGAATGATTTCAATTATGAATTATTTCAGTTATTCTGATATAAATCATCATTAATATCCAACTTATTATAAACACAACTTAATGTTTTAAAATTATCATGCATATTTACATTTTATAAATAAGTGATGATTAGTTTTGAAAAGAAAGAAACTAAATAACGGGTTGACACCACATAATCAAATAATTACAGGTTGTAATTTACTGGTATTTGAACTATGCTACTTCCATAAATAATATTTGTGAAACCGAACTATTGTACGAATCTAATAGTAAATATTGCTTTCACAACTTACTTGCACATCTAATTGATTGTACACAAACTCCACAACAACATCATCTTCAATGTGAAGCAGATCAGTAATTTTTTGCGTTATCCAGGGACGTAAAACATCAAGTTTTACTTTACTCATATCAACCTAATATTGAATCAATGCATTATTTTTAATATTCTGAGAAAACGACACACAATGAAAATATGAGTTTACTTAATTACATATTACAAAATTCATGCTTCCAAATTAAACAGGTGAAAGAACTAACCCTTTGACTCAAGCAATCCCCAAATTTCATTTGCTTCATAAGTTTCTTCTTCTCCTTGTCACTGAATCTTGTATCCTGTTGGGTAGTTGTGCCCTGACAAATATACATCAATGTAACAATAAATCCTTATAACTAAAATTAAGTAAATAGCATTTAGGACTACATACCGTATACATCATCTTGATTTCGTTTTCCTATTAAGCTAATGAACAGACAGAGCGGCAAAAATGTCACACAAAATCGGTTATTCAGTACAATTTTTGTATATAAAAATTATGCTATAACTACTAAAGTCTTATAACACTTCACAATACCAAAATTTATCAAAACTTATACTTAACATAGAAGTCAGTCAACTAAAAAATCCAATCATACTTAATTAATATATAATAATCTACAATCGGTATTTTCGAGACTTTAGTTGATGGCTGTCTCGTGCGATAAAATTAAAATGGCGTATACGCGTCGAAATTTTCTGAAAGGTGGCGCCATCTATTAACGCATAAGGTTTTTCGAGCAAAACTTCTTTCAGAAAAGCATATGTCATGTCATGAATTGTTCATTGAGGCCACCACACGCTATCTTGCTGTGACGATCTATTCTACGATCTACACACGATTTTGGCTTTATGACCAAAATATTATAGAACATTATGTCCAATTATGTCAACTGTTGAATACTTTTTGCGAAAAATTCGGATACAAGGACCACTCGGACCATTTAATGATTTTTAATTCTGGCATTTTTGAGTTCTCAAATATATATACTCTAATTGATTAAGTTTTGAAGTTTTGTTTACTGTAGTACATCAAATTGGTGTTAAGCAAAATATTACTGAAATTCACAGTTTGTTATGTATTCAATGCATTATATTTCATAATTGATATGCTTTAAATGAAACAATCTAATACAACCTATAAATAGTATGTCACAACTAACTAAATATTCTGAATAAATTAAAAATAAAAGTTTGTTTCGCATTTAGAATACAAAATGTCAGTATAAAAATCAATTTATTAAATAGCATGACACGTAAATTCAAAAATTACATAAATATAAAAGGTAAGGTAAATATCACAGGAAAATCAAACATAATAAGGCAATTGCGTTAGTATTCTTCATCTGCTGACTGTTCACATTCGGCAGAGTCTGCAGCCACCTCTTCGTAATCCTTTTCAAGTGCAGCTAAATCTTCACGTGCTTCAGAAAACTCTCCTTCTTCCATACCTTCTCCAACATACCAATGTACAAATGCTCGTTTAGCATACATCAAATCAAATTTATGATTGAGCCTTGACCAAGCTTCTGCAATTGCTGTTGTGTTAGATAACATGCAAACTGCTCGTTGTACTTTTGCCAAATTTGCACCTGGCACTAAAGTGGGAGGTTGGCAGTTGATTCCAACTTTGAAGCCTGTCGGACACCAATCCACAAAATTAATATTTTTTTACTCTTGATAGTAGCAATTGCTGTATTAACATCCTTTGGTACAATATCTCCTCGATATAGCATGCAGCAAGCCATGTACTTTCCATGACGAGGGTCACATTTCACCATTTGATTAGCTGGTTCAAAGCAAGCACTAGTAATTTCTGCTACTGATATTTGTTCATGATATGCTCTTTCTGCAGAAAGAATAGGGGCATATGTTACTAATGGAAAATGTATCCTTGGATAGGGCACAAGATTGGTTTGGAATTCATTCAAATCCACATTTATAGCTCCAGAAAATCTCAAAGAGGTTGTTATTGATGACACTACTTGACTAACCATGCGATTTAAGTTTGAATAATTAGGTCTTGGTATGCCTAGGTTGCGCTTACAAATGTCATAAATGGCTTCGTTGTCGACCATGAAGGCACAATCCGAATGATCCAAAGTAGTATGTGTTGTTAATATTGAATTATATGGCTCAACAACTGATGTCGATACTTGAGGAGCAGGATATATAGCAAACTGTAATTTTGATTTCTTCCCGTAATCAACAGACAAACGTTCCATGAGCAATGAAGTAAATCCAGATCCCGTACCTCCACCAAATGAATGGAATATAAGAAAACCTTGTAAACCACTACATTGATCTGCTAATTTTCTTATCCTATCTAATACTGCGTCTGCCATTTCTTTCCCAACAGTATAATGACCTCGAGCATAGTTATTAGCTGCATCTTCTTTGCCAGTGAGAAGCTGTTCTGGGTGATACAGCTGCTTGTAAGTTCCTGTACGAACTTCATCTGCAAACATTTTGAGTTTATAACAGAAATACTATAACTTAAATTACATCATAACAAATATCATTCACCTATAACTGATGGCTCCAAATCCACAAAAATAGCTCGCGGAACGTATTTCCCAGAACCAGTTTCGCTGAAAAATGTGCCAAATGAACTTTCGACCCCAGTTTTATCCGAGGGCATTTGCCCATCGGGCTGAATATCATGTTCCAAACAGTACAACTCCCAACAAGAATTTCCCATCTGCACACCTGCTTGTCCAACATGTATTGAAATGCATTCCCTCTGCAAAATAGTAATAATAACAATAAAAAAAAATAATCATGCAATAACTATGAAAAATGTACCTACAATCAAAATACTTACCATTTTGACGGCTGACGAGAAGTAGAATGCTTGCTGACTTAAAACTGAATGCAATGGAATTCAGAGAACGACTAACGAACGTGCACCAAATTTCTTGAGCTTATATGCATGAATGGCGGTAAAATTAACCGTCATACATGGCTACCAATGTTTAAAACAGTGGCGTTAACTGTCATCATTTGACAGTTGTTAATCATATTTAATGTTGGTAAACTATAACTATTTACGTCTAGTCTAAGCATAGATTATGGATTATACTTTTTTCGATCTATTAGTCTAAGCATAGATAAATTTATTTATTTATATTTATTATGTTGTTGGTCGTTACTGCAGTTACCTTAATTGTAGTCTTAGTTCTAATAAGGCACGTTTATGTTTATTTATCCATGTGTTTATCGATCTATGCATGCATCATCATCATCATCACATATGTTTACTTATCTATGCATCATGCATCTGTCACGTGTTTTAGCACATAGTCTTATCTATGCTTTAGCACATATTTACCACTTGAGTTAATTTTCCGATAATTCTGAATATATTGAATATATGAAATGGAAACAAAATAGACAAAGTAAAATTAGTGATACAAAAAACTAAACATTTATCATAAATATGCAATTTTTAAATAGAACTTAAAAACTATCTCGGAGCATTTATATTTACCATACCATTTTATCTATTATATGTATAATGTGAAATCAAGTGGTAAGGGCTAACCATACCGAAGACCTTTTTTTAAATTGTTTGGACCAATTTCAATTTAATTTTTTATGTGTATTTAAAAAAATACTTATAACACTAAATTTAACCACTTCACCGCAAACCCCTATTTCGTAAAAATCATAGTAATTACATCATTTTATATCTGGGTTTTTGCCAGTGAATGTTTTTGACTCAATGTTACATAAAAAATAGGTTCATAAAGGAATGGCCCATTTTAATTTACAATACTCAAATATGATTTATAAGTAAATATACGTTGTTATTTTTAACTTAGATTCAACAGTTTTATTCTTTATAAAGCACTATAAAAGCTTACACGTGGGGTAAACAGAAACAACTAACAACTCAATTCAACTTTACACTGTCAAAGTGTAAATAATAATATATTAGTAATTAAAAAAGTATATTTAGTTAAAAAAAACTTTTACAAGTGATAAATTAGATTATTGTTGTTCCAACTCTTCCAATGTATATTTTAGTAAAGACTTTGTGTCCATAAAATTTGTATTTGGTCTTAGTTAAATAAAGTAGTTGTTATTTGTTAAATCCTCTTAAAATTGAAAATAAGACATTGTATGTCTTTGCTTTCTGTCTAAATATAGAAATAAACGTATTTCTCTATTTAGGCAATAACTAGGAAATTTTCTGAACATATTTCGATAGTTGTTTGTTTGTTATAATGTGTCATATGCTGTGATGTATGTTGTCTGGTTTCCACAGTATAATTACTGAAATTCAACAAATAAGTTATATATTGCAATGCTGAATGGAATATTTCAATCGATGCATCTAATACAGCTCAACAACAATCAATCACGAAAGATATGTGCGCTATTTTCCATCTTAATAAATAGATATCAGAAATACAGAATCGTATTTTTGATTAAATCAATAAAAGTCTTTAAGCTATTTACATTATAACTTTTTATTATAAATAAGTTATCAATATTTTGTTTCATAAGTGTTCGTATTTATTCAATATCCTTAATGTGCTGTTAGAAATATTTATCTTCCAAGTTGATCGAAAACCAAACCTTACCGGGAATGTAATTTACTTTTATATTCATCCAGCTTTCATCCAACGATCTATGGAATACTCTAAAGCAGCCACCCAGCTATAAAATTTTGAATATTTTAAACATAATTTTACTATTATCTAAAATATTTAATCACTTTTCACTCAGTACCGTTTTCTATCCATTTCTGATTCTGTATGAAAATAATAATGCCTTTGTCTAGATTCAGGCGGTGCTAATTCAAATGCATGTTTTTTACCCCCAACTGTTGACGGTTGTACTTTATATCCCTGAAGACATGCCATTCCTACAAATAATTGATATATATATATATATATATATATATATATATATATATATATATATAGTAAAGTATTAAAAGTTACATTACATACACACTATTTCATAAATATAATATTGTGTAAATGTAGTATTGATGACAAAGCAAACTACAATCGCATTTATACACGAAGATTTGAAAATAATATTTCAAATCGTTCGTTTGTTTGTGTTGTTTATAGTATATAAAATGCATAGAAATCCCAAAATTGTATTCAAAGCTACTATTGTCATTACTCTTACATTTATTAATAGAGCTAAATACTTTAGATCCAATTACCAAATGCCGTTTTACTGCTGCCATCTTGATAGAAATAAAGACATGCATCTTTGAGAACGCAGTATCGCTTGCTCCACGACCTCCACTTTCCTCCTAATTTCATTAGATATCCGAAACAATCAGGACGAGAAATACAAGCTGCTGGAGCCCGCAAACTTCTGCGTGACGTCTCCAACCACGGATCTGTTTGCTCAGCTGCATGCGATATTACAGCGATCCATCTTGCCATATATAAAAGTTTGATTTTATTCAGTGATTAAATTATGAATCGGATTTATTATTTTTTAAATTTTTCTTGCAATGTTACAATATATTTGGAAAATCAAATCAATAATATTAAACAATATACACAAATTTTATCGCAAAAATCATAGTATCGGACCTTGCGGCAGCTTCTTCTGAATCCG